GAACTCCTGCAGGCCTTCCAGGGGCAGCTTCAGGAGGCGTTCTGGGGGTGCGGATGCCATCAGGCCAGCGGGGGCCCCACCGGGAAGACTCAGCTCCCCACCCTGGGGCACCTCCCGTGGGCGGCGGCTGTGTTCCGCTGGGCACCACACCTGTAGGTCTGCTGTGCCTGGGAGAGCCATGGGCAGGGCCACTGCCAAGGGCGTGCTCCGGAGGGCGGCCTCTGGGCTCCTGTGCTGGCCAGCCTGCCTCCTCTGCGGCCTGCACACCACGCTCGGGGACCTTAAGGACTGTGTACACCATGGCCGTCGGCATGTGCTTGCTCTCCAGGATGTAGGCATCCCAGAGCTTCAGGGTCAGCACAAAGGGGGTCTGTGGGGACAGCAGGCCCAGGAGGGGCAGCTTGAGCAGGGCACGGTGGTGGTCCCAGCACAGGGTAAGAACCCGCCACCGGCCTCCGGCCCCTGCAGTCGCCCGGGCTGCATCAGACAAGCTCCTACAGCTCCTCATCTGGTGGGGCTCGTCCCGGTGGGGCCGTGGCTCCTGGACTCAAGGTCCTGAGGATCTGGCCAGCACGACCCCTAGTCTGGGGGTAACAGAGCCTGTCCACGCTCGGTGGGAACACCGCAGTGGAGCAGAACGCTGGCTTGCCCACCCCCGGGCTGACCCAGCCTTCTGATGGCAGCCAAAGCAGAAACGGCTGGGACTTCGAGATGCCCTGCGCCCACCAGGAGGGCTCTGGGCTGCTCCTGGACGCCCCGCGGGAGGGGCATGGCATGTCTGGGGTGTGGGGCTGGGTCCTCCCCAGGCATCAGGAGGGGTCAGGGAGCACCTCTGGGACTCAGCCTCCTGGGCAGCCTTGCCCGGTCGACGGAGCACTGCAAGAACCACCGGATGGTGTCAGTGCCCGTGGACGTCTGCTCCTCACCCTGATGGAGGGCGCGGGCTCGGGGCCTGCGTGCTCGGCTGGAAACGCGCTCCCGCTCCCCCCCCCACCCCCCCTCGGGAGAAGGAGAATGAAGCTTGAACCACTGGATGGTGTCAGCGCCCGTGGATGTCTGCTCCTCATCCTGATGGAGGGCACGGGCGCAGGACCTGCGTGCTCGTCAATGCCCGTGGACGTCTGCTCCTCAGCCTGATGGAGGGCACGGGCGCAGGACCTGCGTGCTCGTCAATGCCCGTGGATGTCTGCTCCTCATCCTGATGGAGGGCACGGGCTCGGGGCCTGCGTGCTCGGCTGGAAATGAGCTCGCCGCTCACCCGCCCCAACCCCCCCTCGGGAGAAGGAGAATGAAGCCTGCAGGAGGCCAAGCCCCTGCGGTGGCTGTGGGACGGCGCCTCTGTGCGGGGGCGGGGGCGATGCATCTACTCACCAGGTGTCCTTGCAGCTGGGGGAGGGCTCTGCCTAGAATGTGCTCTTCGTGGGCCTGGAGTCTCAGCAGTTTTGGGAACCCCGGGATGGAGAAGCCCGAGGAGCCCCCGGACCCCCACAAATCAGAGCCGTGTCCAGCGAGGGTGGAGTACCGCAGGCGCCCCCGGCGGTGACCCCAGCGTGCAGGGCCCTCCTGAGCCCTGGCTGGACACGCCCTTCCCAGGCAGGACAGCCTGTGAGGCCTGGGCGGCCGGGGCAGAGGCCCTGCTCCCGGAGGCCCAGCTTGGCTGGCACCCTGGGCTGAGGGGTGGGCAGGCGTCCGGCCCTGGCGCTTGCCCTGGCCGCAGCGGGGGGTGGGGGACCCGGTACAGAGGGACAGGGAGTGCAGCCCACGGGGTGGGTGACGGGGGTGTGCCTGGCCCTCTCCTAGGCTTGGCAGCCAGGCTGGGGGCACGGGAGGGGGTGTTGCTGCCGCCGGGGCTTCGTCTGGCCGTGGGCTCGGAGGGCGCTGGGGGGTGGCAGGTGTGAGGCAGAAGGACCAGCAGGGAAGGGAGAGTTGCCTGGACGAGGCCGGGATTGAGGGCCATGGCTCTAGGACCCAGAGGGCAGCACGGGGAGCCCGTGCCCTTCGCTGATGGGGACATAGACTGGGCCCAGGTCCCCGCCAGCCCACTGCTGGGGGAGCTCTGCAGGGAGACCCCTGGCCCTGATGCACTCCAGCTGTCCTCGGTGGTCACCTACCATGCATGGCATGTTTCTCGTCAGTCATCAGCTGGACCAGCGCCCAGAAGGCGTCCTCCTCACCCAGGAACGTCAGCAGGATCGCCACGACCTGGCTTATGCCCTGGCAGTGTCCACCTCTTGCAAGAGCCAGATGTGCATGGAGGACCCACCGGGAGGCCTCTTCTGCCCCCTCCACACTACCACCTCAGCTCCTGGATGGGCTCCCGCCTGGCCGAGCTCACACTGCCCTGGAGGGGCCCCCTGAGATGCCCTGTGGGCTGGAGAGCCCCTGAGCAAGCTAGGCGCCAGCACCACAGCAGCCCCAAGCCGGAGGCTCTGGGCGCCGTCCTGGGTCCCCTTTCCCAGACGAGGCGAGGGAGGCGATGGGGCCCGGCACAGTCTGGAGGTCCTGCCGTGAGGTCAGGCTTGGGGGGCCTGACCTGGGAGAGCACAAGGCCAGGGGGCTGGCCCAAGACCCCACTGTGGGCAGCCCGTGGGGTCCTCTCAGCTGGTATTCCTCGAGGGAATGTTCTGGAAAGAGCAGGTAGAGCAGAGCTGCCTCCCTGGGGGCCCCACAAGAGTTCTGATTACTGGGAACCTTCATCCCTGCCAAGTTTCTGATTAATAATACAGCATTTTTAGGATCAAAACTTGAGTTTCAGGGGTAAAGTCTACATGCAATGAAATATAAATATCCCAGGTGTACAGTTTGACAAGTTTTTATTTTCTTTATTTTTTCTGTTGGCACACATCACAGTTCAGTCTCGGGGATGTACAGCCCCTTGGGTTTTCACACACAGGCGGGGCCGCCGCATCCGTGCTCCGGCCTAAGATCCCACCCCGTTAGCCCTGGCGGCCGCTGACCCTCCCCCTCCCGGGGCTGTGCTTTTTCCAGAACGCCCTGTGAGTGGAATCACATGTGGGTCTGGATTCCTTCACTTGGCAAAATATGTCTAAGACTCATCCATGCTGTTGAGTGAATCAATAGCTTCTTCCTTTGTGTTCCTGAATTAAAGTCCATTTCATGGACTCCCCCAGTTTATCCATTCCCTTGATGAAGATGATCTTGGTTGCTTCCAGTTTTTAACGATCACGAACAGAGCAGTGAATATTGCATGCAGGTTTTATGTGGGTTTAAGTTTTCAGCTCATTTGGGTAAATACCAAGGAGCATAATTGCTGATCGCATGGTGAGAGTATATGTAGTGGGGTTTTTTTGACTGCATTGGGTCTTCATTGCTGCAGCACGTGGGCCCTAGAGCACACGGGCTTCAGTAGTTGTGGCTCGTGGGCTCTAGAGTGCAGGATCAGTAGTTGTGGTGCACAGGCTTAGTTGCTCCGCGGCATGTGGGATCTTCCTGGGCCAGGGATGGAACCCGTGTCCCCTGCATTGGCAGGTGGATTCTTAACCACTGCGCCACCAGGGAAGCCCCAATATGTGTAGTTTTGTAAGAAACCACCCAGCTGTCCCCCACAGTGGCTACACCATTTGCATCCCCACCAGTGCTGGATGAGAGTCCCTGTTGCTTCACATCCTTACCAGCACTTTGGTTCTTATTCTGCCTGAGCCCTTAATTAGATGTGTGATCGGCAAATATTTTCTCCCACTCTGTAGCTTTTTCATTCTTTTAACAGTGTCTTTTGCAGAATGAAAGTTTTACATTTAGATATAGTTCTTTCTCTCATAGGTGTCTTCTGTCTCACCTAACCGGCCTCTTTCCCAGTGTCCATGGCCTCACCCCATCCTGGCGTTCTGGTTTTCTAATGCAACAAGTGAGTTGCCCTGCAAACAAGCCAGAGGTTTAAGATGGAACCAGAAGTTGGGACACAGCCGTGTTTCCTCATTTGTGTATCCAGTAGGCTGTGTTCTCCGACAGCAGTGGCTGGGCCTGAAGCCTAAGATATTTGCGATGTGGTGCATTATAGGAAACCTCCCTGATTCTGTGCCCAGGCCTGCAGATGGGCAGGGGTGGTGGGTTGGTGGGGCCCACCAGGCTTATCCTCACACCCTGGGCTCCTGTCTGCGTGAGGCCTGCAGCCTGGGGGCTGTGGGGTGATGGAGGTTCTGAGGGCCAGTGGCGGCTGACTCGCCCTGGGCCCGGCCTTGGAGGTCAGCAGAGACACAGCCACGCTCCGGGCCGAGGCAGGCATGGGGCTTCCCAGCTTCGGGCCCGTGGAGTCTCCTCGGTAGAGGAATCTTGTCATGAGAGGAGCGTGGAAGGTCCAGGGCGACCACTCGGGCAGCACAGCCCACGCCTGCCTTGATGCTCCCGGCGCCGTCTTGGCCAGACCCCTCTTCTCTCCGGGGTCAGGGCTCTGAAGAGCACCTCTTGGTCCAGAGCGAGCTTGGTCTGTTGGCTATTCATGTACGCCCCGAACCTGTCACAGCAGAACCTGCTCTCCTGCCCACCCACAAGGTCTCCCCGGCCGGCAGGGTCTTTGCGCCATACCCAGTTACCCAGATTGGAACAGGTTGTTCAGAAAGGAGTGAAGCGTTGGGAGACCCGATATTAGGGCTCCCACTAGGGCTGGATATTAGGGGATTACAGTAAATGCTTCAGGTGTAGCAACAGGGTCAAGGGCACGCATAAGAATCCCTGTGTCTTCGTGTCCCGTCCCGCCCCCACCCCCCCCCCCCCCCCCCCCCGCAAAATCCTACTCAGCTTTGTGATCTTAGTTCCCCAACCAGGGATCAAACCCTGGCGCTCGGCAGTGAAGGTGCCGAGTCCTAACCATTGGACCGCCAGGGAGTTCCCAAGAATCCAGTTTTTTTTGTTTGTTTTTTTTTTTGCGGTACGCGGGCCTCTCACTGTTGTGGCCTCTCCCGTTGCGGAGCACAGGCTCCGGACGCGCAGGCTCAGCGGCCATGGCTCACGGGCCCAGCCGCTCCGGGGCATGTGGGACCTTCCCGGACCAGGGCACGAACCCGCATCCCCTGCTTCGGCAGGCGGACTCTCAACCACTGCGCCACCAGGGAAGCCCAAGAATCCCTTCTTTTAAAATGCATACTGAGAACCTAGGGACGGGGTGAGGCCAGACATCTTGGGTTCTCTGTAAAACACCTGTGCTGGTCAAGTGTGTGGTGAACGCAGGACACAGGACAGGACAGTGTCGCTAGTGTTGGACCTGGGTGATGGAATTTGGGGGTTCGTCACACTTTTAAAAAATAAATGATGGAAATTGTCTAAAAGAGCAGAAATATATAACTAAAAACATCAAGATGGGGCGTCATTTTGACCCCGCCGACCCGCATTCGTTCCATTCGTTCCCCTGGGCTCGGGTCCAGCCTGGTCTCTGGTGCCTGGAGCCCCTCACCTCCCGCGGGGCCCTCTGGGGCCTGTTGAGCCAGTCCAGACCGGTCCCCACTCTCCCCGCGCGCCCCCCGCCCCGTGCCCCACACCGCCGCCCTCGTTCCTCACGTGCCCACTCGCGCCCCCTCGAGGCTCAGGCGGCACCGCCAGGCCGGGGGCCGGGCACCCGCCATCCCAGCTTCAGACCCAGGCCCACGCCTCCCCCCGCGGGGCCCCGGGGACCCACTTGATGCCGTAGCGCTCCCGGAACATGATGCGGTTTCGGAAGGCGCGGTTCCCACCCAGGTCGATCTGCTTTAGGTCCTGGGAGTACAGCCGGGCCTGCGGTTTCGGGCTCTGTGGGCGGGGCCAAGGGGCGGGGCAGGCGTCAGGCGGAGCCCGGACCCACGACCACCACCGCCGGACAGAGCGCACGCTGCGAGGAGGCTGGCGGGAGCTGAGCTGTTTCTGCAGAAGCCTCACTGTGCGCATTTCTGAAGCCAGGGCGGGTCACGAGTGACGCCCACGTCCAAGGTCCAGACCCCCGCCCTTTAGGGAGGCACCGTCCAGGCCAGCTGGACCCCTCCTCCGCCCGCTGCATGCGGCCTCCCAGGATGACAGCGCCCCAGGGAGGCGGCTCCCAGGTGCGTGGGGAGGCGGAGAGGGCGGTTGGGCCTCTGTTCCTTGACCCCCGCCGGAGTCCCACCGCCAACAGGCGGGGACACGAGGGGTGAGGCGGGGCGAGGCGGGGCAAGGCGAGGACAGTAAGGGCGGCTCACTGCCTTGTTTCCCAAGAGTGAATCTGGCACCAGCCCGACTCAGGGTCCCCGGGGACGGGGACGGGAGGGCTGCTGGGGGCTCGGGCTCCCAACAGCCAGACGCTAAAACAGCCCATGAGGAATGCAGAGCCCCGCGGCCCTGACACCCCCCCTTCTCAGACCCCTGGTTAAGAAGGCGAAAAACATATCCTTGGGGCTCCCCTTAGGCCTAACAGACATGCATGTTTCCCGTTTCAGAACTCTTTATGTTCATACGGAGGGACATTCTTGATCTCTGTATGTATCTGCCCTGTTTCCGGGGGCCCTTTGAGAGCTTCCGGACTGAGCGTGACGCTGGCTGTGGTCCCACAGTTAGTGGGTGTCCGCCACATTCTTAGCCTCGTAGGTTACCCGTCCTTGGGTTGCTTGTGGAAGCATGACCACTGTCACATTTCCCCTACTGGTCTTACTTGGTCTGGGTACACAGAGCGCCCTCCCCGGGCAATGTGACCTGGGGGTACCCTCGGTGGAGAGGGGGTGCTGGGCGGTGGGAACAGGCCAGGTGTAGGGACCTCTCTGGGGCGATGGGAAAAGACCTGCTTCTTGTCCGGATTCAGTCCTTCTGTTCAGCTGAATGCAGGCCTGTCGTTCATCTGGTTTGGCTTTGCTTTCTCCTTTCATGGCTTCTGTGGGTGTCTCCTTGCTCTTTTCCCCCTGGTTTCTATCCCTTGCTGTGTGACTCTGTCCCCCCAACTGTCTAGGAGGGTTTAGTTTGATTCCAGGTGGCATGTGTCCGTATCTGGACACAGTGTCTGCACTAGGCCAAGTGGGATGGGCAGCAGGGGGGTGGGTGGGGCCTTCCAGGCAGGTGGGCCTCGGGGCCTGCAAGCCTGGGAGGTGCCAGGAAAGTGCTGGGGATGGGCAAGGGGTCCCTGAGGCCCAGCCCCCCAAGCTCCTGATGTCCTGGCCTGTTGGTGCGGCCCGCGCACAGGTGGAGGGGCCATACCTGGTCGTCCCTTTAAAAAAAAAAAAAAACTTATTTATTTATTTTTGGCTGCATTGGGTCTTCGTTGCTGCGTGCAGGCTTTCTCTAGCTGTGGCGAGCGGGGTCTACTCTTCGTTGTGGTGCGTGGGTCCTTGTTGCAGTGGCTTCTCTTGTGGAGCACGGGCTGTAGGCGCATGGGCTTTAGTAGTTGTGGCATGCAGGCTCAGTAGTTGTGGCTCACGGCTCTAGAGTGCAGGTTCAGTGGCTGTGGCGCACGCGCTTAGTTGCTCCACAGCATGTGGGATCTTCCTGGACCAGGGCTTGAACCCATGTCCCCTGCATTGGCAGGCGGATTCTTAACCACTGCACCACCAGGGTAGCCCTGGTATTTCCCTTTGTTCTCCACCTTCACCTTCTCCATGTCCAACAGCAGAGACCATACCTGACCTTGCACCTGTGGGGGGATTCCTTTGTAGACCCGCCGGCGCATCTCCGGGAGAGAAGCCAGCTGTGAGACAGGTGCAGGGGATGCCAAGGAGGAGAGAGAGCGAGAGGCGTCTGGAGGATGCTCCGGAGGGGCTGGGTCTGCCGCAAGTAAGAGCGGGCCGTGGCCCCGCTGCTCCCTTCCTGTGGGGTCCCCGGCTGGGCTGGCTGCGGCCCTGGCATCGGACTCTCCCCGGGCCTTGTGGGGCACCCAGCCCAGCACCCTTCAGGGTCAGGATGCTCAGCTTGCTACCTTCTCGCCACCCTGGTATTTACTCCAATCCCTCAGCATGTTCACCCACTTGTCAGCTCGCCCGATCTCCTGGGCTTTTTGCTGGAAAATGGGAAATGGTGGTGCTGGCCCAGCTGCCAGCTTCCTAGGGTGGCCCTGATGGACGTGACCTCAAAAGGGCCAGGAAAGGCGCAGACCCCTCAGCCCGAGGACCCCTTGACGGCTCTGGGGTCAGGGCGGCAGGGAACCGAAGCTGCACCCACGACGTCCTCCCCCCTCCCGCCGGTGCAGCATGGATGGCTCTTACCCTCGCTGAGTGGGTGCTGCAGCCGCTGATGCTGAGGCCCTGGGTGCTGAGGCTACGCAGCTCCCCTGACTGGAAGGCAAGAGAAGCAGAGCGTGAGGACCTGCACCCGGCCGGGTGCCCAGAAGGCCCCACCTGCCCCCATCAACCCCCAGGTGTCAGCCCAGGAGACTGCGGAGGGGAGGGCTGACCCCAGGAGGGTGCTGGCTCAGGGATGGGCTGCGTCCCACAGCAGCCCCAGGAGGTGCCCCACCTCCTGCCGATGCTGGTCACCCGCTCTGTTCCATGCCCTCCCGGCCCCTGCCCTGCTGGAGCGCAGAGGCCCCCGCTCAGGGCTCTCAGGTGAGTTGCTCCCCAGGGCCTCACCCTGCTCCAGAGTGGATGCCTCCGTCCAGGTGAGTCACTCCCCAGGGCCTCACCCTGCTCCAGAGTGGATGCCACCGTCCAGGTGAGTCGCTCCCCAGGGCCTCACCCTGCTCCAGAGTGGACGCCTCCGTCCAGGAGCCCAGCACCCTTAGCCCTGCTGCAGACCAGCTCCGTCCAGGTACATGCACGTCTTCTCCTCTCTCCCCCACCGTGGCCCGGCCCGGCCTTCTACCCCGAGTCTCCTCCCAGCCCCAGACCGAGGGGTCAGGTCGTCTTCAGCTGCAAACTCCGCCTGCGTCTGTCTCCTTCCCGTGAGCTTCTGAGGCCGGTCCTGCCTGCTCCCCCTGCCCGTCCCTCCAGCGCCTGAGGCCACACCTCTCACTGTCCTCCGGGCCAGAGCCTCGGAGACCTGTGGGCCAGGCGCGCCTCACCCTGTGGCCACGCTCTGCAGAGTCTGCTAACCAGGCTGAGCCTCCCTCTGACCTCGGAGGCAGAGGCCAGGGCCAGGCATGGAGGCCACGCGGCTGAGGCCCAGGCCTGGACCAGCGCCCAGCCCTGCCCCCGCCGCCTCCCCGAGTCCTCTCAGCTCCAGCCCAGTGCAGACCCTGACCCGCCGTGGCCACCAGGGGTCGAGGCCCTGAGCTGGGGTGATGGGTCCCGCCTCCAGAGAGGTCTTTCTGCAAAAGGAAACCTGCCCCGAGATGGGAAGGAGGGGCATCCTGATGCCTCATGGCAGAAAACGTAGCCTGTCGGCAACTTTGTACAGCGAGCGGTCAGCATCTTCCCCGGGTTCCACTGGAGCCCCTGCCTGGCCCTGAAACCCACAGAGGCCAGAGGTGTGGCCAAAGGAGGGGCAGGACACCTCCCCTGCCCTGCGTCCCAGGAGCACAGCACGAGACCCACCTGCCCGAGTGGGAGCTGCTCGTACCTGGCTAGGATCCTGCCTGGGCCACCTGGTCCCACTGGCTGTGACCGCCACCCAGGCCATACCCGCCCCTCCGGGTGAGGATACCCACCTGGGTTCTGCCTTCTCAGCCTTGGCCGGGATCCCCGCCTGGAACATAACTGTTCCTGCTGCTGTGGCTCCCACTGGGCCGCACCTGCGCATACCTGGCAATGGGCCCCACCTGGGCCTCACCTGCCCCTCCTTGGCTCTGATCCCACCAGGGACATATCTGCTTCTGCTGGCTGTGCTTCCCCACCTGTGCTTCCCCACCTGGGCCTCACCTGCTGCTGGTGACTACGATCCTTACCGGGGCTGTACCTGCTCCGACTGGTGACGATACCCACTTGGGCCTCACCTGATCTACCTGCGCTGCTCCCCGCCGGGCCTCACCTGCCTGTCCTTGGCTCTGATACCTGCCTGGGCTCCACCTGCTCTTCGTGTTCACCGTCTGCCGGGGTCTCACCTACTTGTGTTTGGCTGTTATTTCTGCTCGTTCCAGGGCCAGCAGGGTCTCCGGCTTCTCCATGTGCGACGCTGCAAGACAAAAATATCCAAATATCCCAGTGTGCTAAAGAGCTTCAGAGAGCCAGCAAGTTGGAGTTGGCTCCTTGTCGGCAGCTCCCCCGTCTGTCTGATGAGGGGAGAAAACCACGCCGCCGGGGTGGCGGGTCATGGCTCGCACCCACACCTCGTAACACTTCCTTCCGCTTCCAGACTCCCCTCCGAGCCGCCTGGGAAACCCTGTCACAGTGAGGTGATGAGGGGCAAGCAGGGGGCCAGGAGGCCCAGGCGAAGTGCTGAGCTGCGCAGTGAGCTGCGATCCCGGCCTTGGGCGCGGAGCAAAGGAGAGGGTGGCTGCCGGCTGCAGAGGGGCTCCTGCGGGAATCACAGTTTGCTCGAGCACCAGAAGCACGAGCAACACGGGACTTCCCTGGCGGCCCAGCGGTTAGGACTCTGTGCCTCTACTGCAGGGGCACGGGTTCCATCCCTGGTCGGGGAACTAAGATCTCACATGCTGCATAGCATGGCCACACACACAACAAATACACAAGTAAAAAAGCACGAGCAACAGAAAAAAATGGATAAACTGGACTTTATCAACACGAGAAACTTCTGTGCTTCAAATGACACCATCAAGAAAGTGAAAAGACACACAATGAATAAAAAGATTTGTGAATCACCTATCTGATAAGGGGCCTAGTATACAGAATATATAAAAACTCCGAACTCAAATCAAAAGAAGTAGACCAATTAGAAAATGGACAGAGGACATAGATAGACCTTTCTCCGAAGTCTACCCAGCTTCAGAGACAAGGCCACGGGACACACCACTCCTCACCCACGGAATGGCTATCACCAGTAACACAAGGATGCGGAGAAATTAGAACCCTCCTGTATTGCGGACAGGAAATACTGATCCGGGCTACAACATGGATGGAGATGATGCTCAGTGAAAGAAATTGGATACAAGAGACCACAGTGATCCCATTGATCTGAAACGTCCAGCATCGCCAGATCCGTAGAGACAGAAACTCGACCAGTGGTCTCCAGGGCTGGGGGAGGGGCTGGGGGGTTCTCTGCTGACGGATACCAGACTTTGTTACGAGGTGGTGAAATGTGGACACAGTGGTGACGGTTGCACAACTTTGTAAATACTCTGAAAACCACTGATCGGTGTATTTTAACAGCTAAATTTAGTGATGTGTGAATTGAAGAAAAAGAGCTCTCTGAGCCCGATTCCCCACAGTCTCAGCCCCAGGAGACCCTGAAGGTGGCAGGGGCGCTCCTGGTCAAGGGCGGCCCTGGGCTCCTGCCCACTAGGCTCCTCCCAGGACCGGGCGCCCACCCAGGATGGCCCCACTCGGGAAGCAGAGCAGGGACTGGGGACCGGGGGTCTCTAGGACGAGATGCTCACACCTACTCCAGCTGACTGAACTCAAAGCTGGTGCTGGCTGGTGAATCAGCTCAGACGACACCGCAGCTGATCAGGAGGGTGTGGCTTGGGGAGAGGAGGACATGTTTGACCTCAGGCAGCCTCTGTGCTGCTGAGACCGTCTCTAGGTCCACAATTCTGAACAAGGCGATGGGGGAAGGGCCTCACGGTCCCCATTCACGCAGAGGGACCCACTCGTTCCTGGACACTTGCAGAAGGCCCAGCCCATCGGGAACGCGGCTGGGATGTGTTGGGCCAGTGACACGTCAAGAGGACTTGGGACAGGGCACTGCTCAGGATGAGGCCCTGTGTCCCAGCCCGGCCCACAGCCCGAACACAAACGTCCTCACCTGGCAGTGCCCCTGATCTGGGGCACGATGGACAGGGTACTTCGAGGACGCAGGGCACAAGCACAGGGCTTGGAGAGGGCGCCGGGCTGTGGGGCTTCCGAAGCTCTGAGCACCTCCCCGCACCCTGCCCTGCTCCGCTCGCCTCCCCTCCATCCACACGCCTCCCCTCCCCTCCCTCGCACCCCTAGCCTTCACCCTTCACCTCCTCCTGCACCCTCCCCTCCTGCCCGCTTCTTGCATCCCTTCTCCATCCTTCCTCCTCCTCTGTCCCCACTGGCCACTCGCCTCCACCCTTCCTTCCGCATTCTCCCCATTTCCCGACACCCAGACCTACTCCTCAGACACTCAGCCACTCTCCCCTACTGCTCCTGCGTCCCACCGCCCTCCATCTTTCCTGTCCTTCCCCCTCTTCCTGTCTTACCTCCTCCTCCCTCCGTCACCCTGCATGCACCTCCCCACTGGCTCCATCTTCTATCTGTCTCCCCCTGCTCTTCCTCCCGCATCCTCTCTACCCCCTCCTCCTGTCCTTCCTCCTCCTCTGGGCCAGGTGTCTAAGCTCTGACCTCGGGCTCCTCACGTGGACACGGGCACCTCTGGCAGCAGCCCTCCCCCCACGGAGGCAGAAGGGGCTGCAGGGGCCTGGCCCAGGGTCAGTGGGGTGGGGTCCGAGTCAGCTTGGCTGGAGCCAGAGAGGACGGAGGCACCCACCCATGGGCCTCTGTCCCCACTGTGGCCACAAGAGACGAGGTGATGCTTACCCATCTGACCTCTTGCTGCTGGGAGATGTGCCTCCTCGATGGAAATGCACCCAGGGATGGGGCAGGAGAGATGGAGCTGGGCAGGTGAGGGTCAGAGAAGGTCAGGGACCCCGGGGGCCTCCAAACACCTACGGACACGAAGAAGAGTGGGTGCCAGGCAGCGGGTGGAACTGTGGGGTCACTGCCATTCCAACCCACAATGGGCCTCGCGTCATTGGTCAGGGTTGGCACTGAGCCCTTTCCCTCTAAGGGGTCTTGCCTTTGGAGGAGGGTCTTGTCACCAGGCAGGGGAATGTGACCAGGGTCAGGTGGATTCGGGCAGGTGCTGGCTTCTGGCACACGGACCCTCAGGACCAGCCCGTCCCCAATGCCTGAGCACATTCCCCCATCCCTCACCCTGCTGGCTACCAGTGCCAGGTGGCTACTTATGCCCACCCTAAGCCTTCGCAGTCTGAGTTAAATCCCTATAGCGATTTCCACCCAGGCCTCAGCCAGCTTCTTTGAGGTTCTCTGGGTCTGACGGCCACATCAGAGGCTCACCTGGGTACAACCTTTATAGGTACCTGCACCCTAAACAAATACAGACGCTCTGGACTGGCCTGGAGCCCCTGGCTCACCCCCTGCTCTTCCTCCCGCATCCTCTCTACCCCCTCCTGCTGTCCTTCCTCCTCCTCTGGGCCAGGTGTCTAAGCTCTGACCTTGGGCTCCTCACATGGACACAGGCACCTCTGGCAGCAGCCCTCCCCCCACAGACCGATTACGTGGCTGGATGCGCCCGGCCCATGGTCAATGCTGGGGGGTCAGCGTCGTCTTGGCCGCATCCCAGGAAGGATGGAACCGCCCATCTGGTGACCTCTACCCCCAACGTGGCCACAAGGGACGAGGGTGCAGGTGATGCTCACCTTTCCGGCCTCTCAACTGCTGGAGCGGCGCCTGGTCTCTACAGATGGACTGCGGTCGGGTCGGGCGAGGGTCAGAGCAGGTCAGAGACCACGAGGGCTCCCAACTGCCTACGGACACGAAGCACAGTGGGTGCCGGGCAGTAGGCAGAACTGCGGTGTCGCTGCCCGGGTCAGAGGTCAGGATCAGAACCGAGCCCTTTACCTCAAAGGTCTCTTGCCTTTGGGGGAGGGTCCTGTCACCATGCAGGTCTCAGCCGGGAGGCCTGGCCCTCTCCCGCCATCCCTTGGCCCATCCTCATGGAGTCCAGCCAAGCCGCCTCCAGATGGTCCTGTATCACAGTTATCCACTCCCCCTCCCACAGCATCACTGAGTGTCTTTTTCATTTACCAGTCTTCAAAGTCTTCATGATTACCTTCGAGGTGTGTCTGCTGTTAATGGCTGTGAATGTGCATTTCGTGGGTCCATCAGGATGTTATTGAAGTCCCGCACTGACGGGCACTCATGCTTTTCAGATCTGACAAATGCAGCCGGAGGGCTCCAAGCTCATGCTCTTCCCACCTGGAAACGATGCTGTCTGTCCCCTCCGTGCTCTTTGAGAAAATATTTGCAAATGAAGCAACTGACAAAGGATTAATCTCCAAAATTTACAAGCAGCTCATGCAGCTCAATAACAAAAAAAAAACAACCCAATCTAAAAGTGAGCAGAAGACCTAAACAGACATTTCTCCAAAGAAGATATACAGATTGCCAACAAACACATGAAAGAATGCGCGACATCGTTAATCATTAGAGAAATGCAGATCAAAACTACAGTGAGATACCATCTCACACCCGTTAGAATGGCCATCATCAAAAAATCTACAAACAATAAATGCTGGAGAGAGTGTGGAGAAAAGGGAACACTCTTGCACTGCTGCTGGGAATGGGAATTGGTACAGCCACTATGGAGAACAGTATGGAGGTTCCTTAAAAAACTACAAATAGAACTACCATATGACCCAGCAATCCCACTACTGGGCATATACCCTGAGAAAACCATAATTCAAAAAGAGTCATGTACCAAAATGTTCACTGCAGCTCTATTTACAATAGCCAGGAGATGGAAACAACCTAAGTGTCCATCATCAGATGAACGGATAAAGAAGATGTGACACATATATACAATGGAATATTAGCCATAAAAAGAAACGAAATTGAGCTATTTATAATGAGGTGGATAGACCTAGAGTCTGTCATACAGAGTGAAGTAAATCAGAAAGAGAAAGACAAATACCGTATGCTAACACATATATATGGAATTTAAGAAAAAAAAAGTCACGAAGAACCTAGGGGTAAGACAGGAATAAAGACACAGACCTACTAGAGAATGGACTTGAGGATATGGGGAGGGGAAGGGTAAGCTGTGACAAAGCGAGAGAGAGGCATAGACATATATACACTACCAAACGTAAGGTAGATAGCTAGTGGGAAGCAGCCGCATAGCACAGGGAGATCAGCTCGGTGCTTTGTGACCACCTAGAGGGGTGGGATAGGGAGGGTGGGAGGGAGGGAGATGCAAGAGGAAGAGATATGGGAACATATGTATGTGTACAACTGATTCACTTTGTTATAAAGAAACTAGCACACCATTGTAAAGCAATTATACTCCAATAAAGATGTAAAAACAAACAACAACAACAACAACAAAAACCATACATTTGGAAACATCTCTAAATAGTTCATGGGTCTAAGAAGAAATCATAATGGAAATTAGAAATACTTAGACGTGACAATACCAACAGGCACAGGAAGGCAGCTAAAGTGTATTTCAGGAGAAATGCAGAGTCTTTACGTGTTTTAATGGAGTCACAGGAGACACTGGAAATCCGTGAGCCGCTCATGGACTCGGGAGGCTGGACGCAGAGCAGGGCAGAGCCTCGGGGTGGAGGGAAGAGGATGAAGGAGGACACAGGAGGGACCGCGGCTGGTCCTTCCAAAGGCCTGGAGCCCACGAGCTTATCCACCAGCAAGCACTCAGCTTGGGGACCCACGGTGCGGGGACAGCCCCCGAGAGCACGGGAAGGAGGCTGCGCGTCTCCTCACCTGAGCTGCAGGGCCTGGAGGGCCGAGGTGAGAGCTGTGCCCGGGCGTCCGGGGACGCAGCCCATCTGGAGCTCCTCACCGCCGCGGGGCGGCCTGTCCTCACAGTTGGTTTCCGCTGAGCTCATCACAAGCTGCGTGGACGTCTGCATGTGATGCCACCAGGTGGCTGGACACTGGGGTTCTGGAGAGAGTGCGGGGGGCTGGATTTCAGGGAGGCTTTGCAAGGAGGTTATTTTTAAACTACAAGAGAGGACCCCAAGGGCCAGGCGGCCGCGGGGGGGTGCGGCCGGGGTCAGGGCTGCTGAGGAGGGGTGTTGGCGAGGAGAGGGGTGGGGGGGGACGAGGGTGCAAGCCGGGGAAGGTCCAGAGGTGCAGAGGCTCCCTTCCGCCTGCTCGGTCCCTCCCAGAGGTGCCAGCATGGGCAGGAGGCCCAAGCTCCCACGTGGCAATTTCCCCGCCCAGCTTCCTGAGTCTGCTCCCTGCTGGGGTCACAGCTACAGCCAGGACAGCAGGTCCCGAGGAGATGCCTGCTGCTTCTCAACCCCTAAAACCAAGTCTAAGAGAAGCGAAGATCTCCGTGACCATCCATCCCTTCAGAGTTTCTGGTACCTGGGAAGTCCAAAGTGCCAATTAAACCAAAGGAACTCCGTCCTAGACCCCAGAGCTCTGAGGTGAGTGCGTCGCCCTGCCAGGCACCGTGTGCCACCTATCGTGGCCCTGGCGAGAGTCCAGGAACCTGGTGCCTCAAGTGTGTGAGACCCAACGAGGACAGCCCAGGCCCCAGGCACTCTCACCCCGCGTCCAGAGGCTCGGCTGCGGCTGTACGAGTACCCCCCCAGGTCACACTCTAAAGGGACAGAGTCACAAAAGAAGACTCCCTCTGCCGCCACATCTCCTGTCTCCGTCCGTCTGTCTCTCTCCATCTGTCTCTGTCTCTCTCCGTCTATCTTGAACTCCGCCAGCTGCTGGACTGAGCCCAGGTCACTCACTCTGGCCATCAAGCCCTCATTACCTGGTCCCATGGTGCCACATCCAATTTCACTGTCCGTTCCCATCCGTGGAGCTAGCTGCATCGTTGTCACTGCCGGCAAGGACCCGCCCTGTGTCGTAAATGACGCTCGATGCCATGTCTGAGTCATGTGAGGTGGGCCTCAGCTCACCTCCCAGCCGATGCCCCGGGGGCCTGACTGGACGCGTGAGCCTTTCCCCTGGGGCTGCAGTGGGACCAGGAGTTTGCTTTCTCTGCTCCCTTCAGGGCAGCCCTATGAGTTCTAGCTGCTTCCATAAGGCAAGGAAAAGCAGACCAACTGGGAAGGAAGAAATAAAGCTCCCTCTTTGCATAGGACATGGCTGACTGTAGGAAATCTCAGCATGTCAACAAAAGCACGTGTAGAAGGACAGAGTGGGCTCAGCAAACCCACACATGCGTCAGCAGGCGCCTCCGTGCTCATAATGATCAGTCATCGCGTGGAAACCAAATGAAGACACCACCCTGGCTATAGTGACGCCCTGGAAAATAAGACACTTAGGACTGAACGTAACAAAATGTGGACAGAACTGCATGCTGAAAACTACAGAATGCTGATAAAAGAAATCAAAAGCCCAAATAAACAGAGAGACAGCATGTTCGTGGATTGGGCGACAACGTGGTAACCGTGCCAGCTCTCCCAACTTGTGTTCCGCCAAAGACCCTGCTGAGCGGATGAAAATATTTGCAAGCACATAACCCAACGAAGGGTTAGTTCCAGAACACAGAGAGCGCTCCGGAGACTCAACAGTAAAGCAGATATTCCAGTTAGGGAGCGGGCAAAAGACACAGCTGGACACCTCCCTGAAGACGGGCACAGCTGGCGAAGAAGCTCGAGGAAAGATGCCCATGTCATCAGCCGTGAGGGAAGGCAGCTCGGAGCCACACGAGATGCCCTCCACAGCCATCAGACTGGCTAAGGTAAAACAGGGACCGCGGCCCGGGGACAGGAACCTGCAAGCCCCACCCCAGCCCCGGAGCAGCCTGGTTGAACACGACCCAGCGTCCATCCCAGGGAAATGAGAGCACAACGTTTACAGCAGCCTGGCTCCCAACAGCCCCTGAGTGGGGACGAGGCGCACACGTGGTCCAGCCCCGCCACCGCCCTGTCGTCGGCAGCAGGGGGCGACAGCCGCAACACAGCAGCGACTCGAACCAGCCCCGGCATATGCGTTCAGCACCCCTGTCCCCTCCTTGCCCTGGAGGCTCCGCCTCGTGGACAGGATGCCCGCGGCGCTCCCCGGAGGCACGGGCTCCGGGAGCTCCCCTGTGGGGCTGTGTTCTCACAGGCCTGTCTGGGGACAGAGGAGCCCGTCCTGCCTGCGCGTGACGCGCTCCCCAGCGCCCGTCCTCTTCTCTTTATAACTTCCCACTGGTTGGCACAGAAGTTTGGAGACAAGTACTAACACAGCCTGAGGAATCAAAGACTTCATTCTAGACCACGTTCCCGACCGAGTTCCAGACCTCTTGAAACCATGTCTTGGCAAACAGCTGCCCAAGTGTCCTGTTTTGGAGGTAATCGCGGGCACACGGACTCCTAGTCCTTCAGTGCTGGCCACCGGCCAGACTCACTGGCCACATGGTCATGTCCTCAAACAGCGAAATAGGAGGAAAAAGACTGTCTCTGCTCCCAGGTTCTGTGTTTATAAAACCCAGCGTCCACAGCAGATATCCAACACTGACGCCTGCAGTTCTGAGGCAGAAGTAAGTCAGGCTGAGCCAGGCGCTCAAGACAAGTTTTCTATTTATAGCCTCCTGGAGAAGAGCAATGTCTCCAAAGTGAGCCGTTAGGGAAACGCGGGCTGGGAGGTCCTGAATGGCCGCAAAAGAGTGGCCCCCGAGCGGCCCTCCGTCCTGAGGTCTGGGAGCAGAGCCTCGGGCCCTCCATCCTGAGGTCCGGGAGCAGAGCAGCCCCCAGCAGCCTGCCCAGGACGGGACGTCCGCTTCCGGGCACGGCGAGGCCGCCGCGTGCAGGACCGGCGCCCGGGGACACAAGGAGCTTTTCTCAAGTGCTCCACTGGCTCTGGTGGCCACTCTGCTCTCCAGGCGGCCTCCAGACCTCTCCTTGTGCTGCTGGTGGCCGTCCCCGCGCCCCGTCCACAGGGGGCCCTGTGCTGCCTCTCGTGGACCCTCAGCCACGTGGCGCCTTCCTGTGGGCTCCCCCTGCCACCCCACGCCCGGGACACCATGACACCCTAAGTGTCCCTCATTCCGCTACATTTATTAACCACCTGCTATTATGTGTCCAGACCCACTGACTATGGAAACAGAGGGGGTTTTAGTCTAAAAGACCCTGTTCCTCCTAAAGGCCTCAGGGCATTTGGGCAGAACCAAGGCCCTTGTGGTTGGAGCAGACCCCACCTGGCAGGCCCCAGAGGGCACCACGGCCTGAGGTCTGACCACCTAGGAGGAGTGGCCCCCTGGGCTCCCGATGCCCCCCCATCCCCACCCCCACCTGCACCCGCAATGTCCTCGAGCCAGGGGCCGCCATGCCTCAGTGCCCACTGAGACCCTGGGCGCCCCTGACCAGCACCTGCCCAGTTCTTGTCTTCCCCATCAGTTCCCGTTACAAGTGCCCACCCATACGTGTGCATTTGCAGATACGCCCAAGTGTGATCTTTCCTGTGGTTTTAAAACCACGGCCTTGGGACTTCCCTGGCGGTCCAGTGGTTAAGACTCTGAGCTCTCGCCGCCGAGGGCCTGGGTTTGATCCCTGGTCAGGGAACTAAGATCCCACAAGCCGCACGAGGCGCAGCCAAAAAAAAACAAACCACAAAAAACCCCACGGCCTCTGCCTTTCCATTCTGTGGCTCCACACGGTGGCTTCTCCCACCTCTGCAGCAGGACCCCCTCCAAGAAAGCCCGTGAGGTGGTGTCTTATTTCTCCTGACCCACCGCCTGCATCTGCGTAGGATTCCCCTCGAGCCTGCTGCGCTTGGCCTGTGCGCACACTGGTTGCTGCTGGTTCATTACACGGCTCTTTACTACACACGGCTCTGCCCCCTCCTCACCCGGGCAGCTTCCCTGTTGCGTTCCCAGAGTGTAGAGCTTGGGGTCAGCCTCACGCGGTTCCGGGGCCATGCTAGTGGATGTCCAGTACACTCTCTGCACGGCCATCCCTGTGGCCCCGCGTTTCTGCCACCGCAGGCACAGCTAAACCCTTCTCCCTGCACCCTCAGCATGGATGCTCCTTTCTGTGGGATGGCCCAATTCCCCGGAGAGAAAGTTCTAGGTCAAAGATCATATATCATTTCAATTTTGCCAGATGCTGTCAGACTGCTTTCCAAACAACTATCCCTCTTGACAGTGCTACTAACATTAGGATACATATTTTTGCCTTTGATGGAGTTTGCTTTTCATGTCAAATCTATCAACTCCTTACCTAACTCCATGCTAGTAAGATTTTCTCCTATGTTTTAATCTAAACATTTTATATTTTTAGATTTTATGTTTAGACCTATGACCCATTTAAAGTTAATCTTTGCATAAGTTATACGGTTTAGATCAAAATTCTTTTCTTTTTTCACATCAATATCCAGTTGCTCCCACACTATTTATTGAAAAGACGATTCTTTCTCTGCTGAACTGCCTTTGTACCCTTGTCAAAATCAGTTCGCCAAAGGAGTGAGGGCCTATTTCTGGGCTCTAATCTGCTCTGTCCATCTGTGTGTCTATCCTTCACCCATACCACACTGTCTTCATTACTGCAACTTCAGAGTGAGTTTTTAGGTTGGGTAATGTGATTCTCACACTTTATTCTTCTTTTTCAAAATTGTTTAAGCTATTCTCGTTTTTTCCATCTGTACATGTAAATTTTAGAATCAGCTTGTCTCTGTCTACAAAAAGTCTTGCTGGAATTGTGGTTGGAATTGTAATTAATCTGTAGATCAGTTTATGGAGAACTGATATCTTTACTATGTTGAGTCTTTCCATTCATGAACATGGTATGCCTCTCCATTTATTTGTCTTAAAATTCTTCCTTCATATGTATAACTGAATCACTGTGCTGTACACCTGAAACTAACACAATATTGTAAATCACTATACTTCAATTTTTAACATTAAAAAAAATAATTCTAAAAAGCTAAAAAAAATTCTTCCTTCAGGATTTTGTAGTTTTCAACATACAGATCCAGTGCATGTTTTCTGGAGAT